CAGCAATATTTTCAACATATTAGAAAGCATGCAGACAAAATTCATACAAAAGCGCTGTGTCCGATTTGCCGAACAGTTATTAAAGACGACACTTTTCCTACATTTTGTTACACTAAGTAAAAATGTTTTGTGAATATTACTTTCTTCATATGGATTATATCACAGGGAATAAACAAAGTTCTTTTTCCTTCTGTCAGTAAACTGTTGTTACAATTAACAAAAATAAACAATGGGAAATAAGGCGAAAATGTGTTTTTTATTAAGTTTAAAATTTAAACCGAAATTTTTAACCGTGTGTATGGTAATTTTTTCTAAAAATTATTAGAATCTCATAAATGAAACATCATGTAAAAGGTGCGGTGGTCTAGTTTTCGAACATATAAATTTGTATTTGTTAGGTTTTAACATTTATTATTTATAGGGTTAAAATATCAGTGATCCTAGTAGCGGCTGAAATCCCGTATTCTTACGTAGTGTCACTTAAAACATCATAACTTCAAATGGCGCAAACTTGCGGAAACTTTTTTTCCGTGTGGTAGGTGGATTTTTTTGGTTTTAATTAATTCAAATTCAAAATATGACCAAGCGCAAAAAATCGTCGAATCCTTCATCGAAATTAAAAAAACGAAACAAAATTTGTGTTGTTACATAAGCTATTGCTGCAACCTGTTATTTCAAAATAAAATATTTATGTATAGCTAATTTTAAATCTATAGCTGGCACCGCCCACATTTTGGCTGCAAAGGTCTTTCTCGGTAACCGCTTTATTGATTTTTACCAAACTTGGTTCAATGATTTCATTAAATCAGCATATTATCGAAAACGTTTGAAATCGGAATGAACACTAGGGAGATCGAAAATAATGATTATTTTAAAATTTTCCATGAAAACAAGTAAAGAAGTATAAGTTCGGGGGAAACCGAATTTTATATACCGGGCACAGGTATCAGATATCACCGTTTCAACTTTCTCTCACCTACCTTTGCGTGATAAGCAGCGGTGTTCATTAGGGTGTCCCGTCAAAAAATTTTTTTGAGCTACACTATCGCAAGGGGTATCGAAATTTGCGTAATTTTACACATGTTAAGAAAAAGGTAAAAAAGTCAGAATTGTGTGTCATTTTGAGGGCTCTACCACACCATGAAGTTTTCCACGTATTTTATATGAGAAAAAACACTTCTTCGTAGAAATAGAGATAAAATCCTTAAAAGTCAATATTTTTCAATTTGCGAACTCTTTTTCTCTTAAGAAGACTTCAAAGAATAATACCTAATTGTTTACTTAACGAATTTTTAATACTAACTATTTTTTATAGGTCCCAAAATCCCCAAAATAATTAAATGGGGGAACCATAAAAAAATCATTAATATTAAAAAAAGGTTAAATAAGTAACTGGATATTATTCTTTGAAGTCTCCTCAAAAGAAAAAGAGTTTGCAAATTGAAAAATATTGACTTTTAAGGATTTTATCTCTATTTCTACGAAGAAGTGTTTTTTCTCATATAAAATACGTGGAAAACTTCATGGTGTGGTAGAGCCCTCAAAATGACACACAATTCTGACTTTTTTACCTTTTTCTTAACATGTGTAAAATTACGCAAATTTCGATACCCCTTGCGATAGTGTAGCTCAAAAAAATTTTTTGACGGGACACCCTAATGAACACCGCTGCTTATCACGCAAAGGTAGGTGAGAGAAAGTTGAAACGGTGATATCTGATACCTGTGCCCGGTATATAAAATTCGTTTTCCCCCGAACTTATACTTCTTTACTTGTTTTCATGGAAAATTTTAAAATAATCATTATTTTCGATCTCCGGTACTACTTTACTCCAGAATATTGTTTATGTAAAAGAAAATACATATATGTATTATGAACATTTAAGCTAAAACTTTTGTGTCTTATTTGGTACGTTCATATACAGAAGTTGTTTTCAAACTCAACACTGGCGCGTAGGTTAGCTACCAAAAATAACAAAGTAATTATTTTGCTATGAGAAAAATGATGGTCAATAAAAAAACAACAACAATATGATAATCTTCTCTTTGGAGAAAATATTGCCGTATACTAAAATAAGTCAACAGAGACAGCGGTACAACGAAAGACTCGTAACGGGTAAAGAAGGCTCAGCAGAGAACCTAATTTATGTTAAAAAAATCACTGGGCGCCAACTGACAATGCATCCCCACCAGGGTAGCCAACTCATTTTTGAGAATTCCCCGATTTCGGCAATGAAACTCCCCGATTTCGCCCGAAATTTCGTAAAATTCCCCACCCATCTCCAGATATCTCCTTATTTATAAAAAAAAAATTTATATATTTTAATATATTGCTGGTCTTTATCAGTGTTGATATTTTAAGTACAATTGTACTTTTTTCAGTACAATTAGTTCTAAAAAGTACAAAAGTACAATTTACCGGTTTTAAGTACAATTTGAACATCAAAAATACTTTTTGTACAAAACGCTGAAATCTCTGCCCCTTTGATTATTAATCCGTTTGCGTTTAAGTAAATGGACATACTTACATTTCAGATTTGGTACAAAACTAAATCCTGAATTGTAATTTTGAAAGTAAACGTGATTGTGAATGGTAATATTAGTGTTGAACGTTGTGGTTATTACAATTTTTTTTATCAACGGTGGGTGAAATCATCGCTATTTATTTAAAAAAAATCTTTGTGAATGCAGCTTACCTAATGACGATCCTGCAGAAAATGAAGGAATTTTAAAGAAAATTTTAAGTAAATTGCATGCGTTGAAACTAACAATTTCTACTGTGGAATTGCATTTTAGTGTTACTTATCTCATTTTATATGATTTATTTTCCCTAATTTAAACTGATCTATCTTCTGTATTTATTTTTTGTCGTTATTGTCTTCATATTTGAATATATGTGCATCTCGCGACAAAATTATACGGTTACCCGGGTTGGGCTATTTTTTTTTTTTTTTTTTTCAGATTAATTTAAATTTTTCTTTTTACATATAATTTTTAGAATAGAATCTAAGAACTTATTTGTGACTTTATAGTCTAGTTGGAGAGATCTCACTGATAAGTTAGGTTAAATTAAGTCTACACCAACTTAAGCTGCACAATGAACTGAAAGATAAACTCACTGTAGTAGAAGAAAAAGGTGTATGTTTAGTTGAAGGAAAACGGGAGGTAGTGCATTGACGGAAACGGTGAAAAGTACAATTAAGCTCAACAAGTTACAGTTTTTGTCGGTAATTTTGTACAATTTAAAAATCTCAAATACCAACACTGGTCTTTATGTTTATTTTATTGTTATGTATTCATAAACGAAACCAAACTTTTATAAAGTTAGTTAATAAATAAAAAATAAAAAAAAATGTTTATATAATGTTTACATAAATGCAATGGTTGAAAAAATTTTAGTCGCACCAAATATTATCAAGTTTTCACAATTATTTTTTTTTTGTTATTTAATTTGAGTTAGTTTTTTATTAATATATAGTTAACTCTTTGACGAAAACCGTATAAATCCAAGTTTCAAGCTTTTAACAAACTTTCGAAAAAAGTTCGACCTTTTAATTAGATTTTCTAGAAAGATTTTGAGTATGCAGTTTACTAGCTCACTCAGTTCTAGTGTAAGTTTCAAATGGGTAAACATTTTCGTTTTAGAAATTTTTGCCGAAGGCGCTGCGCTTTTCATCCAAATAAAAGTAAATTGTGTTTATTTGTTATATGAAAGCAAATGCGACAAAGAAATTTTCTAAAAAATCAACGGTAATTTTTAGCCATTTGAAACTTTGTTCCCCGATTCACCACGCAAACTGAAATTCCCTGCAAATCGGGTAATTCTCCTCGAGGTGGCTTCCCTGATCCCCACATCAATCAAGACAATGCTTTAGAAGAGTATGTATGTACTAGATATGTTAATTTTTCGGCTTTTTCCGATCCCGGGATTTCCGGGACGGCGTTGTTAAAATCCCGGGATCCCGGGATTAGTCCCAGGATCTAGACATTCATTACATTTCAACAATTTGAATCGAAAAAATTGCTCATATATTGTTTGAGAAGCTCTCCTACCATGAAATAAATAATAATAAATGGGTTTGAAACCTACTTTTTTATTTTATTCTTTCTCTCGTCGCATGATTTATTTTGAAGGACTTTGTAATTTCAAAGATATGATTAATTCCGAAAATTGTTAAAAAAATTCAATGCAATGTAGAATAAAAATATGGGTAACAAATGCAATAGGAAATTGCTTTAGAATTGAAAAAATATAAATTTTTTGGATTCACAAGGACGAATTGGTAATTTTTAAGCTGACAAAGTTAGAAGAACGAAACTCGGGGATGTTATCGAGTTTATATAAGTCCTTAACATATAACTTTTTCAAAAACAAATAGTGCGAAATTTCTAGGGTTAAATTTTAAAATGACATTTTCAATATGTATTTACCAGCCCTTCTGCACCAGAAACTTGAATCTGTTTAGATTTTACAGGATTTCCTCATTAATTTTATACCCATACTTCTTCTCTAAGCACATTTCTCTGAATTATTTAAATCATTTTTAAATTACTGACGTCAGAGTGAAAAACTAAAAACGCAATTTTACTATATTTGGCCCATGGTTTCGCGAATATATTGATATTTGTGTTTAAAATTTACTATCGCGCGGTGTTATATGTATATTGAGCTAGACATATATAAAAAAATATTAATTATTAAATAAAAAAAATTATAGCCAATACTGGTCAAGAAAAGGAGTTTCTATTATTTCCATCAGTGCAAATTACAAATCCCGAAAATCTCGGGATTACTTGGCAAGAATCCTGGGATTTTCGAGACCTTAAAAAGTCCGGGATCCCGGGATCTCGGGATTAACATTCCTAGTATGCACATACATACATTCAAATGTGAACACCTGACATTTGCGTACATTGCTATGGCGAGTTCCATTTTACTAGCAAGAGAGCAGCAGAATCAATGCCAGCAGACAACCCGGCAGCGAGCATATAGGTATAAATAGTAGTACTAAATTTAAAATGAATACCAGTTAACATCCGCTATTGGCACTACTCAGTTTCGGCTAAAAATAAAAAAGAACACAAGATGAAATTCCTGCTTTTGGTACGTGTACTTACCGCTGTTAGGTCTCTTAAAAATAAAAAATTAAAGTTAAAAATTAAAAACAGCAATAGGGGCGTTGATTCACAAAAAAAATTTGTTTATTTGGTTTTTGGCTAGCCTCAACACTGGATTTAAAGAAAACACCCCAATTTTATTTATAAATGTGATGAAATTAGGCTTACTGTTACTTCTTACAGACCATCTTTGTTTGCTGCGCCCTTTTATTGGCTGTCAACGCTGTGCCTGTGGAGGAAGCCATTCCAGAGGGTATAGAAGGAGCTCGCGACACAGTTGAGCCCACTGATGACAAGAGCATTCTGTTGAAGCTCAAGCTGCTGAAGAAACTTTTGTTCTTGGGTTAATCCTTTCGATTATGCCACGTCATACAGCTACCGCTATTTTGCAATATTAACAAATAAACAACACTTTTGTACGCGAAAAAAAATCAGCCATACCATACACACAAACGCGGCATTTTCACGATATTTAATTAATTTATCAGATAATGCTAAGTAAAAATATCAGGGCTTCACATTAAATACTCTAAATAATATACATATATACTATTAGGTTAAAAAAATAAAAGATCAATGAAAATAAAAAATTTGTATACGTAAAATATAAATGTTCAACCGTCTATTCAATGCTTTGAGGGGAACTATAATTTAGAACCCATGTAAATCAACCACATTAGCAATTGAGCGTACAAAATGCGTTTTCTTGAATATTAGAATTTTTTGTAACACTAAGGGCCAAATTCACAGTACGCAGTTAACCACTGACAAAAGTTTAACTATTGATTTTGATATACGTAACGCTCAGTTAACAAAAGTTTAAACCAGCAGGCCGCCATAGTTAAACTCTTGTGAACTTTCTTTTTTTTTTTTTGTGGAACGAATTTCAAATTTGAATAGAAAAGTACATATTGATATTTAGAATTTGTATATTTTCAGGCGATATGAATTTTCATAGTTTTTTATGTGACTCTGAATATAAATTCAAATGTGAACTCTTGTTGGTGGTTAAGTTAACAATCGTTTAACTAAGCACTGTGAATCCAGCCCTAAAATAAATGGAATTTTAGGGCAGCATACAGATGTATGTATAATTGGTTCGCCAAGAGAAGTTCTTAAGTTTCTATGCAAACAAAAAACTTATTAACAATTTCCAAAAATGCTTAACGGCGTCATTTGCATATTTCTTCCCATGATCTTTACGTTCAAAAGAATAAACCAAATTAAGTTTAATAGCAGTCTAAGAAACCAGTTTTCAAAGTTGAATGCTCTTTATGCAGGATGTCATCATATTTGCATTGTAAATGAGAGTAATAGGTCCAACTTACATAATTCTAAAAAGTCGTCAATATATTAGCTAGAATACCTTTTGTCATGTTATTTCTACATACATAAATACATAAGTATTTCGGTATTGATCAGTGCTAGGAATATTTTTGTTGCAAATATCCGCTTCGCAGCTTGGACGATGTTTGTCTTGATTTTAACACCATTGCTTTAATATTTTGTTAAAATTCGTTTGAGATTTTTGGTGTGTTTATTTATTATCAATATCAAATATACATACATATGTATATACATGTATGTATGTATGTATTTGTGTGTAGGTATGTACAAAACTCTTATGTGGATATTTACAGAAATAATTTCCTTATTTATTGTAGAACTTTTAAAATGAGTTAAAGCAACATCTAATGGCAAATATGAATTAACAAAACAAATAACAATTTTCGTTGCTAGCCATTAAAAAATTTTTTTGGGCAAACTATATACGAGAGAAAAAAAAAACAGTTTGAACACAAATGATGTGGCGCGGCTTGAAAAATTAAATAAAAATTCAGACTTCTTGCAGTTTAGCCCAAAAGCAGCTTCTTGATTTTCTTCAGTTTGAAGAAATTCTGTCGTCCTTGCTCATCCTGGTCAAAAAGATCGCCTGGTAGCGACTCCTCTGCGGGAACGGCGGATACTAATGCAATCATCACCAAGCACACAAATAATGCCTGCAATTGAGAAAAATATATATTTATATAAGTATATATATGTATGTATGTTTGTATGTATGTTTGTATATATGTATTTAAGTAGGTTTTTAATGCATAACTTAGTTTATTCATTAGTGACTTACATACGTTCGCATCGTTAGCATAGTATGGAAAGGGCGAAACTCACATCGTCGCTGAAATGCAAAAATGCCACTACTGACTAAGTTTTTTGTTGCATAAAATTATGTGAGGGCTTGTTATTCGACGAAACGCATCATAATCAATAAAAAAATTAAATTTGGATTTTTACTTAGTTGCGGCTTTTTTGCATTTCAAATATACTAACGATATGTTGCGACATAACAAATATTTCCTTACACAATTTTCTACTAAAATATATCAAACTTAAGAGAACAAGGAGCACCGAAAGTGCACATTGAGCTGGCCGATTTTATAATATGCGCTATTTATATATATATATATATATTTATAGCAAGGGAGCAAAGCTCTTGGTATTGTTCCATACGTGATGCAATGCTCTGAGTCAGGAGCAGTTGGCTCAAGACCGACCATACGTGACGAAGAGTCACACCCTGCGAGAGGTGCCCCTGCTTTTACTGAATATGGCGGATCTAGAGAGGACAGCTCGATAAAATCCGTAATTCCGATTGTCATCTGTACCGTGCTTATGGGATGAATGGCACTACGTTAGTGTGCCTTATAACGGTGGCCTCCAGATACCTGGCGGCATCTGGTTGTATGTAGCCCCGCTCAGCGGTGCTACCATCCCCCATACTCGTGGGAACACTGATATGGAAAACGTAAAACAAAAATTAAATATATTACAAAAACCAGATGGAGCTGAACAGCTCGCCGACGAGGCCGGGCATGGTCTTTGGGCAGCCGCCGAAACGGGGACTGTCCTGACAGCACTACCGTGGCGTATAGTCCCCAGTATGACGCTGAGATGGTTGATACGTCTGGTCGACGGACGAACTCAGCGCCATATAGAATGCCATCCTTAGGGCGATAAGAAGCAACAAAGATAGCGCTGTAAAGCCTATTTTTGATGGCTGCACTTTTCGTCCGGGATGGTTATCCATTATCTGCAGGGACGCTGTAACTGCGGAGTGGATAAGGGCCACAGTTCCGAAGCTTTCCCCTGAAAAGGGGCAAAGATAAAGGTGGGAGCGGATTCGGAAACGCCTCGCCGCATAATTCTGGTGGGATTCTTCCCAGAGTTGGATAGCTCAAAGAATGAGGATGCGCTCCTACTTCTTCAGGGGCAGAATGAAGGCCTGAAAATAATGGGCTGGCGAGTCTTAAATCGGCTGCACAAGTCACCATTGTGGTAGACCCGATCTCGGCAAACAAACAGAGAGGAAATGTTTTCAACTATGGCTACGATACGGTGAAGTTGAGCGATAAAGCCAAGCCGTTGGTACCAGTGGTAGAAAATGATGCTGCTGATACCGACGGAACGGGCACGGACGAACAACCCTGTTGTTCGAAGTCTGTCACCGTCACCCCGAGGCAGCTCTCAACAGACGTACACGTGCAGAAGCAGCAAGCGCCGGTAAAGACAAAGCCGTCGCCTGAGCTGTCAGTAGCTCAAGCCATTATGACATCGCCTCCGCGACCCTCAGCAACGTCAGCCCTGACCCTGCAGCAGGTGCTAGACAGATCCCAACAAAATGTCAGGCCTGTTGAGCTCCCTCCGAACATAATAAGGCCACCACTGCAAGGAAGTTCCAAAGCGGCTACTCAAAGCCGCAAAAGCAAAGGGGGTTCAGGGGCAGCCGAGGAGAAGGCCTTGCTGGGTAGCAATAGGGGGAAGAAGGTGACTGCTCGCGGCCGCAAAGACCGCAAGTAATGCCATCTCTCCCTAAGCTCAACCCAAACTCGAGGCATCTGAAAGTGAATCTTCATCATGCCATCAAAGTATCAATGTCGGACCATATGCATATAGAATTCGACATCGGTCTGTTTCCTGAACTCGAACTTGTTTTCAGAAATCCCAGGAAAACAAGCTGGGCGGAAACAGCCCCAAACACCCCATTATAACCAAACAGGAGCTTGAGAATGAAGCTGAACAGCTTCACTCAGATATTGTAATAGCTTTCAACAGTAGTTGCCCCCAATAAAAGGTAAGATCCAAACGAGATGTGTCTAGGTGTAGTAAGAAGCTTGAGCAAATGAGATGCCAGGCCAGAAGACTATTCAATAGGGCAAAAAATACGGGTGATTGGAATCCGTATAAACTTGCGTTAACGCCCCACAACAAGGAGCTGAGGAAATCCAAACGAGCTAGCTGGCGAAATCACTGTACGGAAATAAATAGCCTCCCAGAGGCAGTACGCCTCCAAATGCTCTAACAAGGGATTACAGGAATACAAATGGCACCCTTAAGAGACCAGATGTGAGCTACAGTCGGCATCCGGGTCAGATCAGCAGACTTTTGCTGGATATTCACTTCCCGTGCTATATAGCAGACTACTGTAGACCAGAATTTGGTGCTACAACATCCACCTCTGGAAGAGAACAAAGCTTTGCTACGAAGCTGCCCACTGTAGAGCGTATGCAATGGGCTTTATCAACATTTAGCCCATACAAATCACCAGGGCCGGGTGGAATCTATCCATGTCTCCTGCAGCATGGAGTTAGACACATAGCGCCGGTCCTCTCTAAACTCTATAGAGCTAAGCTCTTGTTGGGTCACATTCCCAGCATATGGTAAGCCGGAACAATTACCGTCATCCGTTTCAGTTCCTTTCTTCTCAAAGGCATGGAGAAAATACTGGATCAGTACATCAGAGAAGTCAAGCTAAGGGAACGGCCTCTCAATAAGAACCAGTTTGCCTATCAACCAGGCATATCCACTGAGACTGCCATTCATAGCCTTACTTCAAAAAATTGAGAAGGCTCTGGAGTCTAAAAATATAGCCCTTTGCGCCTTCATTGATATTTCAGGGGCTTTTGATAACATACCATATAAGGCAGAAAAAGATGCCTTGCCAGAATAGTTTGCATTGGCATAACAGCAGCTATGAAGACCTGGCCGGCTGATGCACTCAGCGCCCTGGTTGGAATACCTCCCTTTCCTATTTCAATAGAAAAGAAGGCTACCACAGCGGCACTGAGAATCCTGAACATCTCCGACCTGAAAATCGGAAATATGACGGGTCACATGAAGGTCCTAATGAAATACGCTAATGATCCCATACTACAAATATGCGATGCAATGGTTCCAAAACTAGAAATATCTAGGAAATTTGAGGTACACATCGAGCTCTCTGGAACATAGGGAACGCATTCACCAAACCTAATGGGGAGGTTTGGTACACTGATGGATCTAAGCTTGAAAATGGTAAAACTGGGGCTGGCATTTTTGGGCCGAACTTTAAAAAATCTATACCAATGGGTAGCTACCCCACCATCTTTCAGGCGGATATTCATGCAATAGAAATTTGTGGCAGAGAATGTCTTAGAAGGGGAACGTCATCGAAATATATCTGCATTATTATATGATTGCCTCAATGTTCTAAGTAGTAGCGGTCGCCCCACGCAGACAATGGCAAATCTCCGATTGCCTCAATGTCCTAAATGCTCTTGGTGCCAAGAATACAGTTTTATTAGGATGGGTACCAGGGAATGAGGGACATGATGGCAACGAGGAGGCTAACCGCCTAGCGAAACAGGTAGCTGTCGCGGTATTTTATGGTCCGGAACCGTTTTGTGGGCTCACCAAAGCGCAAATGAAGGGGACCATAAATAACTGCGTAGAAAAAATGTTCAACAGGCATTGGATGGAATGTCCAGGGCAAAGACAAGCCAAACGATTTATCTGTCCTTGAA